TTTGTTGATATAGTCTTAATGTCTGTTTTGTCCTTGGCAGCGCGTCATTATTTAATGAAACAGATGTTTCCTTAGATATTGGATCCACGGGTGATGACTTGCACGTGTCCGTTAAAGTAAAGATACCTGGGGGTATGTAAGTACATAATAGATTAGATTCTAAAATATTCCCACCTACACAACACATTGACAACAGTCTCTCTAGTACTACGTTTCCAAAAAACAAACGAAAGCACACAAAAATTCTCCAGAAGAAAGAAATCTCCACAAATTCTCTCTGATTTGAGGCTAAATCTTTATTTCCATAAGGCTTAAACTCTATGTCTTTTGGGAATACCAGCTTAGCCTCAAATCGAAGAAGATTCAAATTTCTAGAGCTAGATGATTTGATTGATGGTGGATAATGATGACTGTCTTTCCCCAGTGCAAGGATAGCTAGCAGTCAACTGGACTTACATCTGCAATAGCACGACACTGAAGCAATGCCAAGCTCATTTTTCAATTCTRTTTCAACGGACATTCAATCCGCCATAAAATCATAGTCATGTCATCCAATCCGTTGTCAATTCAACTTTCATGAGCCCCTGAAACAGTCATCCGATCCATCAATGAAACAATCAATCGTCATCTCACCTCCTTCTTAATGTTAAATAGGAGGTCTGGTTCCCTTAATTGTTATCAAAGACGCCATTAAAGGAAGCAAGAAAGCCATAGAGAAACAAACGGGCCTTAAGGTGTCCTTAGACAATAAGAGCATCGCCTTGATGTCAACAACTACGGCTAGGCCGCCGACCACATTTCCTCCAGGAGTTATTATAAGCACACCTACTAGAAGTATAATACCAGGTCTCCATGATTACTGGGCTGTCATCGTGTGTGCCGTGGCTGCCACTTTGTTTCTGTTGGCTATTACTTTATGTTTTACCTTTCATGCAAACAGGTTAGTTTTGTTAAAATAGTATTCACGATCATTTCGTTAATTCCATTAACGTTGTTCAGTTTTAAAGACCTAAAGACAACGACAACGTCGGGCAGGTTGGGAGAATTCTCGACGCTTATGCAAACCTACATAACCGTCTCGAATTCTCCCAACTTACCCTCTTGTTTGCATCAGGCTATGTAAACACGGAAAACGTTATCGATTTGTGACAGGTTCTTTTCAACTAGGTTTTTTACGTACAAATGATCCTAAAATGACAGTGTTCAACTAACTTAAACTGGGTAAATAACTGGTTTACAAATTGATAAAAGACATACCTAACGATTCCTTTGTTAAAAGCGAGATTAAGCGGTTGAAAAGCTAACTAAATTGTTCTAATTGTGTAACAGGATTCAGGCACCACGGGATCGAAGCCACAGGAATTCCGATTCTGTACTTTCTTTCTCAACATTTGCATGATGAGTGAGTTTGTCTATGCACAGTGTTGATAACATCGTGAGGGTTGGCAGTAACAGTGTTCTCAGCAACTAATGCTG